CAAACACTCTTCGGGGTTATATGCTTAACATAACACTTCGTGATTAAGAACCATTGATACGTACTGCACTCAGTGAAGGGAACGTTCACCCAACTACCAGATTGAAAATAGTCAGATTTAACTCACTACGACAGAAACTGAGGAAAAAGAATTGAAAGTCAACATTTTCAGAGTGTGTCCAAACCAGACTACAAAGTCATTTTCAGTTCTACCCATACCAACTGGTATACAGCCGACATCAACAGAGCCCATCGCCATTCTATGAAATGTCAGAAACCAGGCCTCCCCTTTGTGGTTTTGGTTCTTACAGCCTCTCTCCCCACACCACCAGTATTTCAATTAAATGTATTTAAAATACATATTTAACTACTTTTGAGTATTTTATCATTTGTTTTTTGCTTAATTAAAAAAAATAAAAAAAAGACATAATTTGTAACAAAACACTTATAGGTTGTATTTAATGTATTTAAGATGTATTTAAAATTATTTAAAATGTCATTTATTTTCTGTATTTTTAGAAATCAGGCTTTGAGACTTTCATTTCAACAGGCATATGTTCAGGAAGTGGCATCTTGTGGTTTGTCATACAAGGCTTCATTGACTACATTAGAGATAAATCAGGCTAGCTACTTTTGCTCCTAAGAACAAAGTTAAATTTGTATCAGCTAAATGAAGGTGTTTTTAAAGTCACTGAGACTGTGTAAATGGGAGAACCGACTGGTGAACTTGACGTTGCATAATATATGCGTCACAGCTGCTGGTTACATTCTTTGTTTTATTTGAGCATACATCTAAAAAACAGTTTCTTCTTTGAGTTTGTACATGTTTGGCACCCTACTGTATGACAATGCGGGAAAATTAAGCATTATGATAATTTAAGGAAGCGCCGGTGTGCCTCCTTGCAGGGGCACACATGTGCACCAGCGCCCCATCAACCACCCCCACTAATCCTCTGGGAAACACTGGGTATACATTAACGATGTAACAATTCTGAAACCGATACCAGAACTGTAATACAACTGTTCATGATCTTGTATCGTGGTTCCAGAAGACGCAATTGTGAAGTCCCCCCCCCAACCCACTGCTGCAGCCTGTTGAGCTCTTGTTGTGTCGTTTTTCATTTCACAATTAGCACTATAACACATGCAAATCACTAAATTATTATTCTTTTTAAAGTTAGGGCAAGCTGTACATTGTGTAAATATTACACATTACTAGAGCTGTAACAGTACACATAAATGTCATGTACTGTTACTATTTTTCATGTATTTCTGTATTTTCAAATTATAAATGACTTGTATTTTAATTAAATACATTTCATTAAATACATTCACACCAGTATTTTGTATTTTATTTTGTTAAATTTGATGAGCAAGTATTGGTAATTTGTAACATTCGTATTGATGTGTTTATGCCCATCTCTGTGCACCACCAGCCTAAACTCCTAACCCTCCCCATGAGATCCCTCGGGGAGACTTGCTGGGCCACAGCCGAATCGACAAACTTCACCAGGATCGACAACAAAGATGATGCCAACCACTTTGCAGTGAATATAACATTCTGTACAATTAAATCTTGGTGCAGTTTTGAAAAAGGAAAACATGACAAATTAAACATTTCAGGATTCAGCAATTCATCAAGACTGTTATGCAAACCTAGAAAAACTCCAAGTTAGGAGTGACATAAATGTCAAGTCTTCATGAACCTGACTAGGTTAAGCAGGTGGAAGGTGAATGGAGGGATGGATGGATGGATGGATGGAAAGACGGACGGACAGATTACAGTGATTGTACTTGAATCTGCTTGACAAGTTTGTAAGCTGCATTGTATTAAAATAGACAGAAATTTAATTTTTCACTCAGTCAAAATGACAAATGGACTGGACTTTCCCTTCAATGTAATCTTAAAAAGCAGTTATTTGCTTGCTTAAAATAGTAAAGTACATCTTTTTGCAACAATATGTGGGAATGTCCAATTTCCTCCTTGCTCAGAACAAGAATACAATGTCCTTTCTGCACACTAAATTCCTAGGCAAAATTAAATGTTTTTGGTTAAGTAAGCAGTTCTTCCCCTGCCACTAACACTGCAAATGTTTGGCTAAAAATATACTGCTATTCTTGAACTGAAGCAGTGATACGACAGGCTGGCCATTTCCTTAGATATATCATTAAAGTTAGTATGTGATAGCAATCATCCATTAGCTGCACTATTACTTTCCACAAAGACCTGTGGGTCAAATTATTACACCTATATGTAACTGTACAGCCCAAAAAACAGTAAGCCCTGTTACGCGTACATTAGTTTAACAAAACTAAAAATCTAAGCTTATTTTCCACTAACCTTTTTTCCCCACCCGCTTTTGACATTTAAGTTATCATCCACTTACATTATATCAGACATTACTCAAGCAATGGCTACGTTATGCTAAAAAGGGAATTTTTAGACAGGAAAAATGTCATGGGATATCCGAGTTCATTGAAGAAATCGCATTAAGTAAGCAGTGGCATGCTCAAAGCCCCCAGTAAGTCATGTCGCCTCAAGTCACTGCGTTGCCAATCCTTGTGAAGTTCTCTGCTTTATGGTGGCACTTGAGCTAATGAAAAGCACGGCTTTGCAAGTGAGACACCACACTCCCACCATTATGGCTTTTTAAAGAAAACTTTTACACCAGATAATCAATAAACTTACATTTAAAAGAACCCGGCTACGAATTTTAATGAAGCCTAGATGCTGATAAGCGGCAAACCAGCAAATTCTGTCTTTTAATAAACATTCTTCCGATTTGTCATTAAGACAGCCAGTCACACCTACTGCCTTCTCTCATTGGCACATGAATTATTCATCGCTGCAAAGACGCAGCACCCTATTGGAGCACGTGGAATCACCTCTGGCTCACCAAACGAAACGTCAACGCAGCAAACCCATGCAAGTTTAAAAAAAATCAGCTCAATGTCATTTTGTATCACAAACATCCCACCACAGTAAGCATGCTAAAAACCTGTTACCTGCACTCTTTACGAAAACATGTTTCAGTTGACAAAGGAAACTGGTTTTGGTAGATAGCTTGGAGAAACTATCTCCACTCACCCATTATAAAACTACTTATTCGACTCCAAAGCCTATCAAAAATGAAAATAAGTTATTTGACAGTAATTTTCATATTGGTCTTGGACAGAAAATAAAATCTTCATTGCCAATTTTGTCTGCTTGATCAGACTACATTCCCATAAAGTACTTAGTAAATAGCAGCAGGACTCTCACTTTCCAGCCTCCGCATCTTTACACGTAGCCTTGTTCAGCAGTCCTAGGGCTGCGTGACACTTCCTGGAAATCGGACCTAACAGCGTCAAGTTCAGAACTCCATAACAGAGGCAAGCGAGACGGCAACACCGCGACACGGCACTCAGGAGCAAACTTACAATGTATCCCGCATAGTCGTCATTCTCCACGAAGGAGTCATGCAGCCAGATGAACTCTTCATGCTGCCGCACCACCGAAAATTCATTCTGCTTGAAGCTGGGAAGGGTGCTCTAGGAAAGGGGATGCACAGGCATGAGACTCAACAGGGTCCCATGAAACAGCGTCAGAGAAGATGCGAGAGCTGCCTCAAGCCCAGAGCGAGATGCAACAGCAGGAGACACTTGTAGATTACGGAACGTGGCGTGTCAGCAAGTTGGCGAGGAAACAAAGGAAAGCGAGCAGATTAACCTTGGTGTGAACGGTGAACTTGACCTTGTCCCTTTCACTCAAGGCATCTGAAATGTCCACCTGCAGCGTAGCATCAGTCTGTAGGTCCACATTCACTGCCCTTGGCTGAGAAAAAACAGGGGCGGTGGTTTTTAAGATCAACATATACAATCGATGACTAATCACTCTTTATAATGATCAAGCAGTTAAATGATCACTATTATTAAATGAATTTGTTAATATGTGTTATGAACATAAACATTTTTAAACTACAATTATGTCTTCACTAATAGAACAGGACTTCAATGGAAACTAAATTTTGTTTGATTCATGCAAATCTCATTGCAAACTCGTTTATGAAGAGGGAAGGTGTTTGTTCAAATGTTTCTGGTGTTACAATGTTTCGCTTTAAGCAGAAACAAAGTGTCCACTAGTATAGGAATACCTTTGCTTTTGTGCACCGCTTTTTAAAAATTGCTTAAGTTTAACATAACGAACGTTTGCTGGTGTTCCCTTAGGTAGTCCAGCTCTTGATAAAAATACCAAAGCAATGTAGCCTATCTGTATATTTCAGGCGATTAAAAACGACATGACTTTGAAATTAGCCAACTTGGGTAAACGATTCTTTACAGGCGGGTTATATGAGATCAGGTCCCCACTAAGCACCGTTAATTTGACGAGGGCTACAGTTTTCAATTAACGGAGATACGGTTTTGGCAAAAAAGCAGAAATCGAATTAGGTGGAAAGGACGGTACATGACCGGGCCCGATGCGTTTAAAACAGGTGAGGAAAATATAGACTTATCACAGTGCATTAACCGGCAGATTCAGCTCGATGGACGCGCAACCGCAATGCATGTCAGGTTAAATATGAAAGAAAGCTGCCAGAGACGGGGCAGAAAAACATGTAGGAACTCAACTGACTGACAAGCTATAAAACATGTAGCTGGCCGACATCTATTGCTAGACAAGCCGAACAGTTACTGTATGGCGGCGACCCTTAACTGCGCCACGGTAAACGCACCCGGAACCAGACCTAATGCGCTCCACAAATAAGGAGAAGTAAAATAAGTCGGAGATAAAAACAGGGGAGGGGGGAGAAAAAACTTACACCTCTGTCCTCCTCAGAGAGGAAATCGGGACCATCGTCCAGCCCTTCTTGCTGAGCAGTAAAAATGACACAGAAAAAAACAAATCCACGTCAGCACGGATGATCAGAACTGTATACCGTGTAGGCTATTAGAAGAACAAGTGGCGGCGATCGGGAAAAAGGATGGGAAAGGCAAAGTGGCACGATCGTGGATAACACCTACCATCATGGCTGCTCCGGGGGTAGTGGCGCTGGGTCGGGCCAGCGTGACGTTTAGCGCAAGGATCCGGGAAGGTGGCGCTGCCGACGACAGCGAGCGCCGCGGTCTCTTCTTCGGCTCTTGCTATTCGTCTGGTGAGCAGGAGCGGCGTGACCGAGTACCGCCATCTGCCGATCTTCGGCGAGCCGCAGCTCCGGTGCATAATAACAGCGAGAGAATAGAAAACGACTGAATAAATAAATACGCCCGGTGTGTGGGGGCAAGATTAATCAGAGTAACGAATGTTCGAAACGCAGTACTTTCATTTAATACTACGGAAAAGCAAATAATGCAGTGGGAGTTGAGGGTCCTCATCAAAGAAGTGCAGAGCTCCCAAGTTACTATCACGTGGCTTGATAAATCGATTTCATATTCGTAGTTTTCATGTAGTCATATTGACTGCATTTTGTCAATTTTGAGTCCTAATTAAACACGGATCATGCCCACAACTGACTAAAATTTATAAATACTAACCCATATTCCGTACGAGTTAAGGTGGCAGCTGCTTAATTTACCGACCCTGGTTAAGAGTATCATGTAGCGTTCTCTCTCATATGTATTGATTGTATGCCGTTGTGTGGCTGTTTATGTGTAAACTGCAGTTTTATGGTTTTGCCAGCAGTAAATCTGGCAGTTTTATGGTTTTGCCAGCAGGTAGCATAATTATTAAGTACCCGAAGCTTTAACCTAGTGGCTACTCATTAGTATTATGTGAAGAGACTTGCTGCTGTATTTTTATTTTAAGCGAGGTTCTTCAGCTAAATATCAACCTTATGTGTACAGTTATTCGCTGTGTGAGTGGCTTTAAATGAGTCCGCTCATGAAAGATAATACTTGGAAATATAAAAATAGATAATATTTGTAACTGGAGGTGTCCAATTCTATTGTAGACGTATTACAAGTACCACTGACGTCAATTACTGTAACTAGTAGTTCTCTTCTGATTTTAAGCTAACTACTTAGAGTGAAATTATTTCATTGTAATAATATTTCTTGTTATTGTCTAGGATGAGTTCTCTAATTAATATTTTATGCCTTTAGAGGTTACCAGCATCCAGCAATCTAAAGGCATGCTTTTTGGGTATTTTTGTGACAGGTTTTTGACAATTTTTGACTGAGCGTGACTGTTCCAGTAAGTAAAAACTCATCATATGTGTTTTTCCCCATCTATGTATGTATGTATGTGTGTGTCTGTGTGTGTGTGAGGGAGGGGGGGGGGGGGGGGGGGGGGGGGGGGGGGGGGGGGGGGGATACAGGCAGGGGCGTCAGAAGCATTTTGAATGTGGGGGGGGACACACTGGCATAAAAGTTATATCTTATGTTAAATGTGGGGGGGTCCAAATGAATAATTATGAAGTGTGGGAGGAACACGTCCCCCTCAGATTTAATGCCGTTGACACCCATGGGTAAAAGAGTAGTACATCTGAGAGCTGACACATCCCAGACCTGACACATCCCAAACTGACACATCCCCAAGTTAACACATCACAAGCTGACACATCCCAGACCTGACACATCCCGAGCTGACACATCCCTGAGCTGGCCCATTATCTGCAGCTTATCGGCTGCTTTCAGTCACTTGTGCTTAGGAGGAGCTCCTTTACTTGCAGGTGTAGCAAAGGCATGGAAATGTTCAAAGTGGCCAGTTTTCCAGACGTTCCCACAACATTATCCCACTACTACAACTAAGAATAATAGTAAAGAAATAAACAAAGGATGTGTTAGAGCAGCTGGCAGCACTGCCACTTTACACAGCTAAGGTCATGGGTTTCGGGCTGCATGGTTCATTAGCAGTATAAAGTACATGTTTTGCACTTTTATTTCAAATATATTTTTGATTATAAAACATTTTTCAGCATCAGCTGTGTTAAGAAGATGCTAACATAGACAGAACTTTTGTTAAAATGTAAAACGTAGAAATAATGGTCCATTAACCTTACAGTAACTTCACTGCCAGCATGGAATTATATCAAAGTTGTGGTGTATAAATGATTCATTATTCGGTTAAGGGTGGCATGGTTGCTAAGTGTGAGCATTGTTGCCTTGCAGTTCTCAGGACAGTAGCTTTGTGTCATGCCCCAAATCTGCCTGTGCGGAATGTTCATACTTTGCCTTTGTTCATTTGGATTTTCTCTCCACGTTCCTCCCTTAAGGTGTGTTTTGTGTAATGGTCACTGCAAAGAGCCCAGAGGGAGTCTGTGCGTGGGAGCTGTGTGCTGGCGCTCTTCCAGGATGTCCTGCAGCTTTTATACATCTTACGCAGCTAATGCATCGGATTGGATCGCGTTACTCTGCCTGGACAAGTGGATGATGACGGTGAACTGATGCAATAATGCTGCAAATTCAGTCCTTTGGGAGTCCTTTTGCAAGGTTCGTTATTTGAAAGGCATATATGCAGATGTGTTCCCAGTATGTCATCTTAACATTCTGTAGTGGTAATAAATTCATTAACTATGCTACTCCTAGTAATGATAAATGATAAAACCTTTAAACATGCTAATTGGATAGTGCCATAAATAAAAGTAGCAGCAGTGGAGTAATTTAGCAAATAGCATCCAGTCATTATTGTACAGTAGTTATGTCTTCATATTCTTATTAAAATCTTTTATAATACTTCTTTTTGTCTGGCATTTTTAACTGGCTCAATGTGTAATAGTTCGTCTTAGTAGATTATTAATTCCAAATCTCATTAAAGCATTCATAGAAATGAATGTGCAGTATTCTGCGACAGCTTCTCAGTAATAATATGCAGAATTAGATATTCATAAAGCAAAAAAACATGCAAAATTCATCTAAGCATGTAATTATATGATTATTTTCAGTTGACCTGAGTGGAGGTTTTTATAGAATTAACAGAAACACAAAGCAAACTTCACATTTGTGCAAATTAAGTAGCAAATCATGTGACAACTATTTTCACATACAATATAATTCTCAATCTGACACCAGCTGATGGTCATTATGTGTGTATGCATGTTTTTTAAGTGTAATGACTTGACAATGTTTCAAGTTTTTATGTTGTTAACATATTAATAATTTTGCCATAACAAAAAATAAGTACAGTGGTACCTCAGAACTCGAATTTAATACGTTCAGAACTAAAAATTCTGAGTTGGAAAACCAATTAATTGGTTCCCGGCCCGAAAAATTACATCTAAATATGTTTTTCTTTTTCTTTTTTAGCATTTAAACACAAAATGAACCGGATAAAACAAGAAGAGCATATACTGTACTCAACACATCTAAGCACATTTATCAAAACAGTAATTTGTAAAGTAAGAAAATAAATGTATCCAAACAATGTGTCCTGCCCCGATCGTCTGCTCCTTCCGTGTGCAACGCCTCCTCGTTAACCGCGTGTGGAATCCCCGTGTGATAAGCTGTTTCTGGTTGTTGTCATTAGTTCTCTGTATTTTGTCCGCGTTTCAGTTTGTTTCCCCAGCTTGGTCATTGTATTGTCCTTCTGCGTTTTGCCTGCCTTACCTGTAATTAAACCCCATATTCCCCGATACCCTGATGTCTGCGTCTTTGTCTCCGTTCCGTCCCCGCTCCGCACGACAATGTTATTATAATTAAATGTATTAATGGTTTATTATTAATATAAAAATAATAAGAAATCTTTATTTTTAAATGTATTTTATTATATAATAATATTTACTGTTACTGTCTATCATTGTCTAAATGTATTTTTACTGTCTAAATATATGTATTCAG